GGATAATTTGCACGAAACCCCCACTTATGGAGGATGGGTCGAGGCCAAGGGGCCTCGATACTGTCCTTCCATCGAGGACAAAGTATGATTCGTATTCTTCTATAATAAGCTTCCTCATTTTTTATTATTCATTTTGGATAGGTGGCGTCTCATTTTTATTGTCCATGGAATGAAATTCAGCGTATAAATGATTCAAAGTTTGATTTAAACATCAGGTGAAATATACTAGTTACATCCCCCTCCCCCCCCCCCTCCCCCCCCGCTTAATGGACCATTTCTATTAATTCATCTGATGTTACTTAAGACAAAAAGAATAACTGGGTTATTTTCCACAGTAGCTTTACCTTTGAATTGGCACTATAATGCCCTTTTTCTCTCATCAGATGGGGAGAGGGGGGATGGTTTACTTGTTTGCTATCCTGCTGATATAGTTTACTGTGTGCTATAGATAGTAAGATTTCAAGATAAAGAGTCGCATCAGATATTCCTTGAACCAGAGGGCAGGAGTGTTCCTGAGCTATATGTGCAGGTTTTCTTCTTCTCTAATGACCCTTGATGACTTACATACTCTACTAATTACTTTAAGAAAATCTGCTATTTTCTGAAACAATATACTTAGTACTATTTTGCATATTTTGAACTTATGTAAATCTTATATGTATATGTGTGTGTTGTAAAATTTAAAAACTTTTGATAAAGAACATTTGGTGTATTTCCAATCTAATTAGTGTTTTGCCCCCCCCCCCCCCCCCCCTAACAGGCAATGTAGCTCTCATTGTTAATTTAGTTTAAGCTAATCCCTTAATTGTTTCAAAATGGTCAATTAAGTCTCTCATATCCTAATGATGGGGTCATTAAACATGGGCATCTCTTGCAGTTCCATAGAAACATGTACATCCTTTCCCTTTTCATCTCAACCATAATGTTATCATTTTGAATTTGAGTTAGGGCATGAGGGACTCAATTGAGCCCCTTTTAAACAAGAGGGATTGGATTGCACCAACTTGAAATACTTCGCAAAATTATGAACAATTGAGTAAACAACAAATGTTTTGCATGCATCTGTCTTTTGGTTAGCAACTCTGAGATGATGTTTTTCAATGTGGGTTGCTTAATTTTGGTTAAGTAACTGCTGCAATGCTAATTCTTGAGTTCCCTTCACAGATATTATACTGATAAATGAATGGCTCTGGTTTTGAAGTACTTCAGTTTGACAAATTTACAGGGCTTTTCTACTGGTTTACCTGAAAGACTCCAGTTGCCACTATTACAAACTTTGCCTGGACTGGAGAACTGTACTATGTTGAGGCCTGCTTATGCTGTCGAATATGACTACTTGCCTGCTTATCAGTGTTTGAGGTCCCTGATGACCAAAAAAATAGAAGGACTTTTTTTCTCTGGCCAAATAAATGGGACAACGGGTTATGAAGAAGCTGCAGCACAGGTTTGAACATACATGTGATCTCTCTCAATTTGTTACATTCCCAACCACGCTCGTAACAATTTGTTACTATAAGAATATGTAGGAAGGCTGCAACATTGTTCACCAATTGGTTCTAATGTACCCTTTTATGTTTTTCTTTCTGATAGGGAATTATTTCTGGGATTAATGCTGCTAGACATTCGGATGGAAAATCCCTAATTGTTCTAGAGAGGGAAAGCAGTTACATAGGGACACTGATTGATGATCTGGTCACGAAAGATCTCCGAGAGCCTTACCGCATGTTGACTGGGTAAGAAATAGCCAATCATTTCCTAATGAAATACACATGTTGATGATCCGGGAAAATAGCATTTTATTTACAGTATTGAGTAAAATTTCATTCCTTAAATTACAACAGGCATTGATTGTTCTGTTATAGTCTACATTAAGTTAAAGCTGGAAATTGATTTTTTCGTATAGTGTGTGATGTCCTTGTTCTTAACCATGTCCTTGACTTCAAGTTCTAGTCCATGAGTCCATCACCACCTGCCGATGCGACAGAGATGATGCATTCTTTTGGTCTGACACACTGACTTTTTTTTTAATTAAATGCTCTTCAGCCGCTCAGAACATCGTTTGCTTCTTCGCTCTGATAATGCTGATAGTCGACTGACTCCTGTTGGTCGTGAAATTGGTTTGATAGATGATAGGCGATGGGCTATTTATGAGGACAAGCAAACTAAAATAGTAGAAGAGAAGAGGAGGTTGAAGACAGTCAGGGTTTCAGGTTCTTGACCCCAACAGCCATTTTCCCTCCCTTTTTGTATTTATATGAGATATTTTCCTAAATAGGAGTAAAACACACGTGTTTTCCCTAAAGAGGACTGCAATATTATAATTCCCAAATTAGGAGCAACCACTTTCATCCACTTTGTAGATGGACAAAAATACCCTTACTATACAGTTTATTTTTTTATGAAACAAAACTTAAAATAAAATCAACTGTCACCGGACTCCGACAAACGCCGCTTGACTTCCTCCAAATACTTCCATCCTCTGGCGGCAGTTGCTCGAGTCTGGCTCACTGTCATCCTGGATTCAACAACTGCTGGATAAATACTGTCATCCTAAAACAATATTGACACAAACTAAGATGAATATGTAGCAACACTGGTTACACTGCAATATATCAGTAACAGATGTTCTATATTGGCCATATCATAAAATTGATGTCATCTCTGTGGCCTAATATTAATAACAAAAGAAAATCAAGAAAACCGATGGAAAAAAACAAACCGAAAAAATAAATAGAAGAAATCAGGCAATGAAAGTCACGGAGAAAAAAGAATGAACTCCGTTGAATGCCGGATCTACCACATAGAAAGAAAAAGGATGAAAAGCATAGCTTGCTCGAGCTGCTGCAACTTGACGAAGTTGCAGCAGAGACAGGAAGGAGATGCTCGCCTCTGCAACCATCTCTGTTGCTGTCTGCTTTCTCTTATTTGAAGCAGCATTCAAAGAAGGGGAGGGGATATAAAAGTAAAATAGGCTGTTGTAGTACTTATTGTAAAAACTGTAGGAGGGGTAAAATAGGAGGAAGAGCTCATTTGTATGGAAAAGACTTAGATGGTCCTTTTTAAATTTGGGCAGTGTTTACTCCTTTCTAGGCTAATGTACTTCTTGTCAATGCATTTTCTGTACCATCCATTTTTTCTAAATAAATAAATAAAACAAAAGAGAGAGATATGTTGGGTAACAAACATGTGCCTAGCTCTTACATGAAGTGGGACTTCAGGTGGAGATTTGGCTGCTGAAGTTACATCTATTTCTCATCAGTCAGTTAAGGATTCCTCAACATTGGAGAGCCTCCTTAAGAAACCACATGTGCAGTATGAGGTCTTTGATAAGCATGGTTTTGGAAATCAACTTCTATCCAGAGCAGAGAAACTGTGCGTAGAGATTGACATCAAGTATGAAGGCTTCATCGCTCGCCAGCAACTCCAACTCAAACAGGTTTACCAACGGCCTCGTGCCTTTCTCTTTCATATGTGCTAAATTTTCATATTCTTATCCAATTCTATGACTTATCTATAGCTGCTAGCTATGTTCCTTTGGTGGTTGTTTGATCCCGTTTTCTGCTTCTAGATGGTTCATCAACAGCATAAACTAATCCCTGAGAGCATTGATTATTATGCCATTAGCACTTTGTCACTTGAAGCACGAGAGAAACTCTCAAAGGTCTGTTCTTGTTAACTAAAACCTAGTGTTGGTCTGTTCATCTTGACGGCCTGCCTTTACTTTCTGATTAACTAAAACCTAAAGCATTGGTCCCAAAGTCATTGGCATTAGGTGAGTTGTTTCATGTTTATAGGTCAGGCCCCAAACCATTGGCCAGGCGAGTAGAGTAGGTGGAGTAAATCCTGCTGACATTACAGCACTTCTTATCATTCTTGAAACTAAGAAAAGGAAGGCCCGTGAGCATACAGGGAAACAGGGTGCTCCTCCAGTTGACATTGGTGCTGCAAACAGGCGACCGGAAATTCCACTTGCAGTAGAAGCGGTGTGAAGCTGAAACCCACTTTTTGGCAATACTAGTTTTTAGGCACAGCTGCAAGTTAAAAGTTTGACCCATCTTCTCATTTTCTATTGGGTGATTATGCAATGCAGCTCGCTTTAATGCAAATATATGGTCGCTCCAATATTGTACACATCCTTCGTGTTGTTTTCCAATGCATCTCAAAATGTTAATGTATTATAGAAGCAACATGCAGTGACTGACCCACAATTCTCCTGGTAGTTTGGTTCATTCTTTGTTGTGTTATTCAACTCTTATCTTTCTCAAATTTGTTTGTTATGTGAGTTTCGCCCATTGTCCAGTCGTGGTAATTCCTGGTAGGGGTAGACAGGGCCAGTTCAGGTTCCAAACTGGCCAATGCCGGGTCCCACACAACCATATGGTACAACCAGAACTACCCTCCTTAAGGATTCCAGATTGGTTTTCAGTTCGTGTCCGGTACTTGGCCAGTTCCAAATTGGATTTCAAAGATAAATTTGTGGTGGACAGAAGAGGAACAAGAACCATCAACTTCAGTTCTTAGAAGAAATTGAGGTAGTTTTTATTTGTGAGAAATTGCCCTAAATATGAGTAAACAACTTTTGGATTTTCGAAATAGGAATAATGTGTTTTTTCTTCTCCAAATAGAAGTCATTACGGGCATGATTGAAAAATATTGTCTTAAATTATAATAAGTATCGCCATGTTGAATCTCAAAACATGTTTACTCCTATTTTGGGAAATCTCCCTTTATTTAGTTAATAGCCAGCCAATTCGAGTCCGGTTTAGAGTTGCAACCTTGTCAATCCCTAGTTATATTGAATTTATTCTTCTACTACCGTATCAAATTATCATTTACTACTTTTGTTACAAAATAATACGAGTATTTCTTTTTTAAGTTATCCCAAAACTAAAGAAGAATATGTTTCCCTCATTGATAAATGATCTGCATGTGTGGTATAATTTTAAATTTTACCATTCCTTTACTTGAATCTAGGATTTATTTTGCACTGCTAAAGATTATGTTGCTATTGATTGCTTTATTTTAACATAATGTGAAACTGTTTACTACTACATCTTCCTGTATAAATGCTACAATATGCAAGTATAAATGCTACAATAAGGAATTTCATGTGGCTTGTTAGTTGCCTCTCTTCTCCATAGATGTAGACATGTTTCAGGAGCCATGAGAAGGTCTGCTATGACAAAGAATAATTATTCGAAGCTTGAGGAACGGCTATATCTACCACACAAGTAATCCTCTACTGATATGTTATGATCAGAGCTACAACTTGATAGAGAATCACTGTCCAAATTTTGCAAGGCAAGGTTAATAAAGGATTGTATGTTTGCTGGAGGGGGCTGTTGTTCATCATCTGCATCTACTTCCTCAGATCCGTTCACCTGTTGCCTTGCCCAATCAATGGCCTCTTCTTCGCCTTGAAGGAGCTTTACAACCTGTAGTATTATTCAAATATGCAAACTGCTATGATTAAGGTATGAACAAACATATCAGTCTCCTCTATGCAACTTGGAAGAAAACACCCGCACTTACTATGTCAATTGGAGGACGGAGTCTGGGTGCCCGTTTGATACTAAGGGTGGCAGCTAATACCATCCTCTCAAACTCATCACGCTCATATGTTTCAATCAGGCTTAAATCAAGTAAATCAGTAGATTTCCCGTCCGTCAGTATTTGCTTTGCCTAAGAGTGAGTAGATATATAATGTTATTTGCAGCAACCGGTTAGCAAAATCGCATGTTCAGTTTGTTAGGAAAATAACTTACCCATATAACCAAACTCTCCTGGCCTTTAGAATTTGTATGGTCAATCGGCTTTCTACCAGATAAAAGTTCAAGAAGTACCACACCGAATGCATAGACATCAACCTTTTCATTAATTTTTCCATGCATAAAATATTCTGGAGCCATGTAGCTGCCCAATTGAAGAAGGTTACAGAAAATCAACAATAAACAACATACGGTTTGTGAGGATGATGCCCAACTTACCCAAATGTACCAGCAATGTCAGTGCCATCTAAATCACATGAAGAAACAGAAGCTAATGTTGCAAGCCCAAAATCTGATAGCTGCAAGAGAAAAATTAAGTGTGAACATCTTGATATATGATTTGTACAAACTTTTCAATGTCAAAGCACAGTACCTTTGGTTCAAAATCATATGAGAGAAGAATGTTTGAAGATTTTACATCCCTGTGAATGATTGATGCTGAATTATGCAGATGTTCCAATGCCTCAGCGACCCCTAATGCAACCTTGTATCTCTCGCGCCAACCAAATGACTTCCCGATGTTTTGAGTACCTAATTCAAAATATGTAAATCAAAATTATTATAAAAAATTTGCAGGACCTCTAGCTGTTGTAACTACAGAAAACAGGAGTTTTCAAGTAATAAATACCATGGAGATTATCTTCAAGGCTTCCTCGGGTTAAAAGATCATAAACTAACATAAGGTTATTGTCTTCAATGCAAAACCCAAGAAGTGAAATAATGTGTTTGTGATGCAAGCCTGTAATAATCTCTATTTCTGAACAAAATTGTTTTACTACAACTTCTGATGGCTTAAAAATCTTCACTGCGAACTCCATCCCATCTGGAAGACACCCTTTGTATACCTTGCTGCTGCCACCTTTTCCAATTAAATTTTCTGAAAATGTAATTGAGTAATATCAGAACCTGAAATCATGAAGTGACAAGCAAAATGTGAATACAGAGACAGACCATTCAGAAAATTAGAAGTTGCTGTCAGAAGTTCCTGATAACCAAACAGCCTGCATATTGGTGAATACTTCTCGGAAAGGCACTCTACTTCCTTGTGAATTTGAAAGCTGGTGTTCTCATTTGAACCTTCTACAACATTGGAGTTTGAAGGAAGATACTCCTCATCATGTACACTTTGTTTATCATCCACAAGGTGGGTAACTCTGAGAGATTGTTCACATTGTATTTCTCTAACCCACTGCAATTCAGAAGACGTTTTTGCAGCACGCTTACCAGATTTTGTGTTCTGATGAAATACTTTTCTGAGCAATGCTGATCCTGAATTTGAGTCTCGCACATCCATTGTCTTATAAGGTACCAAGGCTAGAGAAGTACACGCTTTGCCACTATTTGACAATGGTAGCTGTGTGAAAGAACTGTCCTCTGGATCTGCCCTTGGAGGGAAACTCAAAGGACTTTTAGTCAAGGTCTTACTCTTCGAACTCAATTCAAGCACATCAAACATGTGTGATCCCTGTCCAATAGAAGTAATAGCTACTCTCTGAAAGACAACCTTACCATTATTGACAGCAATAACTGAGATGCTCTTGCCAACCTTCCTGGCACAGTACTTTGCAAGTGAAACCGATGATCTAATACTATGGTGGGTGCTTGAAGTACCAACAACCAAAATTGGTGCTTTGTAGACAATTGCCTCATTAGCCAGAACCTTACGAGCTGGCGACCCTCTACACACCTTGAGCTTAAGATTAACCTATAAAGCATAGATAGAGAGAGGATGAGTGTTCCCTTCACTAAGCTTTCCGCTTTGAGGGATTAATTGCTTGGATACCTAACAAGTTCAATCTCCATCACAGAAGAGAGAGGTTTCAGATAAAATTCCACACAATAGGTGACAGGGTTGTAAGAAGTTCGCTATAAGCCTTCCTTGGTTACAAATAGCAGTAATAATTAAATACGGAGTAATTGTTTAACAGATCATCCATTTGCCTACATTTTACCGGTTTCGCTTCACATATTAAATACACTAGGCCATTTCCGTAAAAAAGGAAACACAAGGGTTTACCACAATCACCATAAACCAAAACTAAACAGTAAAAAATGTAAAGTAAAAAATACAAAGATAGAAGTAATTAGTGGGGTAAGTTAACCTGTTTTAAGTTGCAGAAGCCTTCATAAGCGGCCATCATTGAGTCAAGAGTCTTCACCAGTGCGAGCATCTCCGACTTATCTTCTCCCGCGTAAAACAGCAAGGTGAACAATTAAGTGAAACACGGAAATCATGAAAAGAAAACGTTAAATCCAGACAGAGAATTGCAAAATCTACAGAGTTCTGAAACATTTATATATGAGCATATGACTATGACATACAATGAAGTGTATACCATACATAAACATAACAAAAAAAAATGTGCACGAATTGGCATACCGCTATCAGGATTGAAGATATGCAGAGCAATGACGCTATCTCCAGGCTGGGCAATTTTAACCAGGACCCAAGTCAATAGTTCCTTACTCCCCGAATCCAATTTCACCCCCACTACCGCCACCAATCCTCTTCCCCCTCCGCAGACGGCGTCACCGCTGCAGCCACCACTAGTACTCTCACCCTCATTACTGCCTTCAACGGCACTACATTTCCCGGCAAGTCTCATTCCAGATCGGAAAACGGCTTCTTCCTCCCTTTCTTCGCAGTGCAACTTCCTCTGTATAAAACAAGCAAACCTCTTCTCAGGCTCTCTCTCTCTCTCTCTCTGAAATCACAAATGTCCGTTATCTCTGTCTGAAACACCTTCTCTGTCCTAACCGATTGTTCGATCATTTATGGCCCCGAGCGATTATTGACCGGATTCGAGCGTTTTAATGTATTTATACAGCCAACGTTGGTATTGGTCGAGTGCGTGCCAGCCCACGCTCCCCCGACTTCTTATTATGATAACTGCTCTTGAAAATACATCTTTCAATTAGTTAGGAATAATAAAGTTTAGAAATATAGTTAATGTAATATTCTTTTATTCATAAAAAAGATATGGTATTTCAATTTCACATTCTTTACTTTGTCTTATACATAAATGATAAGTACAAACGAACATGAACGCAATATATTAATTAATAGCAAACATGGAAAAACAATGCATGTTCCATGTAAAACCCACAAATGCCTTACAAAAATGACACTTGTCTCTTTTTGGTACATTGTCAAGATAGATAGCATATGTTGCGCAATCCTCATATTGATTTTTTCCATTTCTTATTTAGTAAAAAATAAAAAAGTTCAGTTTTTTTATCGTTCAAAAAGTTCAGTTTTTGAAAATTTTAAAATGAAAGGAATTTAATAATGTTTTTAAAATACTTATAAATTTATAATACATTAACAATAATAATGATTTAAAGTGAAATGTTATGATTTGATTTATGTAACTTTAGAACGATTTAATTTGATATGATTTGGAACTAAAATATGTCAAAACAAAAACATTCACGATGTGCATAAAAAGAGCACATTTGAGACAGAGTAGTAATAAGGGTGGTTCGGTACGGAATACCAAATATATTATCTCATACATTTACCGTATCAAAACTTTCAGTGTTCAAAATTGCATATTGTTGTCTGTTATCTTATTGAAATTTCGGTATATTGTATTTCAATATACTAAAATTTCGGTTCAGTAAATGTACAATATTGGTAAATTATCATGCATGTGTCTCAACACAACATTTATCATAGACTAATGAAATACAAAAATGGTGTTATTAGCGACATACTAAAATTATTTAATAATTTTAAAAGAATTGTTTGAGTATGACTTTCGGTATGACGACATATCAGTATACTTTTTATTTTCACAATAAATTCTAATATCATACCAAAAATGTCAGTATACCTTAATTTTGGATAATTTTGGTATTTTTCAATATGCTAAGTAAATGTCAGTATACCTTCAATATGATAAGTTCGATATACTGAAGTTATGGTATTTCATTCCACCCCTAAATATTAAAATGAATAAGCACAAGGAAAATGTGCCAATTCTAGACAATATTTTTGACTTCATTAAATGTGAAGTTGTCTTTTGAGTTCGACGTAATGATGGTAGACATTGGCATAGAAAGGGTGGCATATGAGAGTGGGCGGCACAAAGATTGTTTTTGCAAAAAAAATTACATTGTGTTTTAACCTAATAATTTAATCACATATGAATTTGGAGTGAATCAGAGCCTAATTTGCTCCTCCAACTACGCCCGACGCCCATGATGGTAAAGATACCAATGTGACAAAAAATTTATACATGAAGAAGTGTTTCATAATACACATCGTCTGGTAATGTTTGCTGCAACAGAGTTTGACATAATATTTAAAGAAAATGTAACAATGAAAAATGTATAAAAAAATGAGAGATCGAATAGAAAAGTACTCCCTCCGTCCCGAAAACAACTTCCCACTTTCCTTAAATGGATGTCCCAAAATTAACTTCACACTTCAATACTTTCCTTATTTGGCAAATTATCTACATCAAAAAAGTGATAAACAGTGTCAAACAGTGTTTAAACAGTGCCAAACAGTGTTTAAACAGTGCCAAACAGTGTTTAAACAGTGCAAACCAGTGCATTCTACAGTAAAGTCAAATTTATTTTCTAAAAGTGTGTGAAAGTCCAACCGGGAAGTTGTTTTCGGGACGGAGGGAGTATTAAAGAGAAAAGAAAACATAGGAAAAGTGAGACAATTGAATTGAATATTTTAGAAAGAAAACTTATAAAAAAGAGAGATAGCATAATTGTAATTTGTAATTCAATTTAGAGTTTGTGAAAACGACATTAATTGCCAACATATCTGGGTCTCGTGCAGAGCAAGCAGTATAGCACGAGCTACCATCCAAGTGTGCATAGCACGCTAATTCCACTGGCTTCAGAGTAATATACACTGCAATAAATGTCTCATCCTAGTGCCTGCTGCACATGAATGATTGACTGAGGAAGATGATGATGGGCAAGGCGTTCAAAGGAGCTAACGTGTTCATGTCGCGCAGCCTGGTTCCGCCGGAGCAATTCGACACTCTTCACGACGCGCTCAAGCTCAACGGAGCTCAGCTCTTCCTCCGCTGCGACTCGTCCCGCAACGGCCCCAACGACTACCACGTCATCTCCTCTAGGGATCATGTATCTCACCACCTAGCCTTTTCCAGTTATATATATATACTAGCATGGGTACGCGCTTTGCGCGAAGATTAATGCCCAACGGGAAAAACATGACCAATTTGAAAGGTGCAAAACTAAAAAACAATACGAACATAACTAAAACGAAGCAGGACAAGAGAAGGACCAAAAATAATAACTACAATAATACAGTATTTGGAATAGGCCCCAAATCTTTGAGTACTCCAATTACTCAGAATACAACGAACTAAATAAGGGAATAATTCCAAGGAACAATATGGAATAATTAGTCACAACAATGTCATCACCTATAGCAATACCTGTGTTTTCAAACTACTCACTCTTCCATGAATAACATGGAATAATTAGTTACTTATTGCACCATCTGTAAAAGAGGTTTGGACAAGTAAAGCACAATACTCACCAGACATGACATACTCAGGATCTGCATAACCCTAATTACCCATAACTCGAGTTGATACATGAGTTTTATCTCCCATGAGCCCATCTTTTGCAAGTTTGAAGTCAGAAAACTTCGCATTGAATTCCTGTGATTTCAAATTTTAAGTATAACAGGTCACCGACAATTTTTAAGGGTTCATTTAGAGTTTGGAAAACAATCAAATACTACGGATAGAAAAAAGGATGAAAACATATAACTCAATAATAATGTTATTATACACATTTGCTCAAACATATTTCATTTACATATTTCCATTCCATAGAAAAGGAAAATAAGTATTTAACCATATTTCATTTTAAACCACATTTTCTAAGGTAAAGACGAATATAAGAAAGTAACTTCGCTTAAAATATAGTTTCCTATTCCTGTAGCAGTATAGCATTTTAGACCATATATACCCTAAGGTACTTGTTCAACATCTAAAACAATTGTTTTTCCCTTCTGGTCTCCTCTGTTAATGAAATCATACAAGACTAACCAAAACTCAAAAGAATAATTACTTTATTTCTGTAAAATACAATCTTTCAACTATAAATTTTATTATGAAGATGCCCATAATAAGACCGGAAAGCTAAAGACACAACATTACAGCGAGAAGAATTACATACTGACCGTATCCAATAGAATGTTTGATGTTTTGAAATCCCTATAGATGATAGGCCTATCTGCTCCATAAAGAAAAGCAAGCCCTCTGGCAACATCCAAAGCAGTCCTCATTCTCCTCGACCATGTTAGTGTAGCTCTCCATTCCCATACATAACAAACAGAGAGGTGTAGAATGATCATCTTCATTAAGAACTCTATGAGTTAAGGGTGCACTCAAAAACCGGAAAATAATAGGGGAAAGGAAAAATATTTCAAACGAAATCCAATTTTCTGTGTTTGGTTTTCCCTATTAAGCAGCTGTTAGTCTAGAATCAAATAGGGGAGGGGGACTTTCTGTAACAATCTGTAACATGTATAAGGGCACAAAATGAAACAGCCCTTAAATGGTCAGAATGATTGAAAGTGGTAGAAAACAATCTGTGAATGAGGACCAACCCTGAGGAAAAGAAAGTGTGATAACTAACAATAGCTTACGGCCCCAACTGTATCTCTTAGAAATCTGGAATCGCTCCAGAATGAATCAACATCCATGAATTAACAACAAACATATAAAATTAGATCACAAAAACAAGAGTAAACAAGAGTCACATGGCAGATTTATAAACAAAAGTAAGCAAAATTAACGCAGCAAGTGAGTAAAAAAGGTTACCTGCCAAGCCAGCAAAAAGATTAACTTGGCAAAACTTTGGGGGCAAGGTAGAAGTACACACACTGAAACAAGTCCACACTTGGATCAACGCTGCCTCCAAAGCCAACAATCCTACATTATATGAAAACGATACACATTAGTATGCAATGTTATAAAATAACAGTAAATAATCCACGCTCACCAATTCTTTGGCAACACAGCATGTTCACCTATAGGAATGACTTCCACGCGGCTATCATACCAGGGTCAAGTCTCACAAGAAGGAAATTCATTTTAGAACTGATCAAGCCACATGATAATATTAACCAAATAGGGGAAAGAAGAGACCTTGAAATAAAAATGTAATTATTTTTACTCATTTTAATATAAGACTTAAGTATGATAAGTAACCTTAGATTAACCCTAGAAACAATTATTTCAAAAAGAAGATTCAATCTGTTGATAACTTAACAATTAAATGTGAAAAGAAAATTTAATTTAATACAAGATTTTGAAATCAAACTGAAATCAAACAATCAAACATGTCATGTTTCTACATCTGAAATATACGGGAAAAGTTCACCAGATGTCAAATGTTAAGAACGAACATAAAAACAAAATTTACAATTAAAAATTATTTACCATAGTATTTACTTAAGAAAAATTATACTCCAACGTCTTTAACAAAACTAAACCATATATGGCGGTTTGTGAATTAGAAAGTAAAGCATTTTAAGTGAACTCATTCCTCTTAAACAACCATGCTCAATTTTCATAGAACTATGTAAAGCACATTCTGCTCAAGGCTGGTTATCAAAGCTCATATATACCAGATCTTAAGTTGGCGAAGTGAGAACACACGAGGACTTGTCCAGTTCTTTTAAACCTCTCCGTTCCATTTGATGATGTTTCTGAACCCCACAAGATAATCCCAATGCATATCCTGTAAAATAAAGGGGAAATGGAATTGATATGAGCTGGAACTAAGTTAAAAAGTGAACTGAAATGATTGAAACTAACATTTAGCATTTTCTTTTGGATAGATGGTCCCCATCACAAGTTCACAAGTCTGTTTATCTCAAACATGTTGATAACCGATTCTCAAGTTCATCATAAGAATACCAATCAAGTGAAAAAAAGCTGAAAATTTCATCTTTAAGAAAATTCTTCTGGGTAGATTTTTTACGAAAGAGCATTCACTTGAATAGGTTTTTCATATTCATTTTGTGTATCCTAAAAAAATGCATGTTAATATTTAAAATATTCCATCCCTCTATGTTAAATATAACTTCAGAAGTACTGGGGCTAAAATGATTTCACCTGAACCGTAACATGCAAGTTAAAATCTTTGGGACTGGACTGATGATTTGTATTAAGTTTTGCAAAATCAAAATATGTTTTTGAAGAGACCTTTTTTACCATTCCATTTGAGCCAATGAGAAACAGGTATCACAAAGTGCTTCAAGACAGAATATTAATGTATCATCAAAATGAAAATGATTTCCTCTTTCCAAACCATGTCTGTTTAAAATTTTGTTTGTGAAAGCCAAATGGTATAGAAGCATAAGAAGTGAAGTGTGAATGAATTTCAAGTTGAGCAAAAAAACCAGGCTTGCTTTTGCCAGTGCGATGAAGCATGTGAAGCTCTCACAGTCAACAACTCTAACACGTAATGGTTTTTAATTAAGCTAAAACAGTAAACATCTACCAACCAAGGTAAAAATAGGAGCACATGATCTAAATCTTGTTGGAATTAACCTAGATCTATCCATTATACCATGGGGATCACGATTTCTCATTTTCACCTTAAGATTTAGTGCATTCGTAATCTAAACAATTAATAAGTTAGGGTAGATCTAGGTGTAAGCAAACATTTCTGTAAAATGGAAAAGAAAATTGCATATTATTGTTGGATCATTAAAGACGAACATTATTTTTAATTTAAACACACGTGTAATCAATTTTTTTGTTAATATGCTTTCTTCTCTAACTACTTCTTCCAATTAACTAAATAAATGTCAAGTGATCTATCTTAAGGTAAGTTCTAAGGCAATATTGTAAAGGAAGGATAATCAGTGGGGGAAAAGTTGAATACAGTCATATACAGTGATGTATTCAAGGTAATTTTAGAAGTTTTAGCATGCTCTTTAGATTGCCTTTATTCGAGATAAACTGTTTTCAAGGGGAAGTGGTTTTAGATGGAAGTGCAATAGTTTGAAAAGAAAAGAAAACTAATAACAGAGTTGTCTATTTGGTCAAAGAATTTAGATTATATCATTATCTATCTTTGATAATTATATCATTCCACCCAGAAACATTCATCTAGCTTTGACAGATTATATATATTGTTCTTTCATTCTTCTCCAATGTTTTAATAAGAAAGAATTAGATTTTATCTTGATAAAGATTAATCAAGTAACTGTTCTCACAATAGGCAAATAATAGAGTTAGTTTCTTCAGAAGCTCTACAGATAGAGTCCAATCGAAGAAACTTACCATATTTCATTACAGGGCTTCCCTCAACTGTTTTACAAACAATGGCCTTGCTCTTCACTCCTTCTGAAAAGAAAATTGCAGAAAAAGAAAGAGATTGCAGTTTCCGAATGCAAATTTCTTTTTATATTTCTATAGAACTACGCTAGCAAATGAGTTATTAAAGAAGGTTCCTGCAAGCTCAATGAAACAAAAGGGGCTTAGAGGTCAATCTACATTTAATTGGGTGATTCAAAACATACAAACTCGATCGTGAGCTTCTTCTTGTTTTTTTTGCTTTTGGAGGCCCAAGGAATCACGTCAATCTAAAAAATCCGAGGACAATCAGTTGTTCAAGGTTGCGAAAAAGTCTAAGAAACACCAAAATCTACTCACAGATTCGGAGGAAACCAGTCCATGGAACGGTACAGACAAAATCGCAAAATAAGAAGAAGAAAAATAAAAATACGTGTTAAATCCATATCATTTTAAATCAAGATGTGCATGGACGAACCTGATTACTTAAATAATCTTGATGGTTAGAGCATCTCCAATGCTACAATGTGCACGGTGCACATGTGGCATGAGAGAGATAGACCCAAAAAATTGATTTTATGACATTTCTCTCTCCGTCTTTCCACGGCCTTATATGTTTTTGGTAAGTTTTTCTCTGCGATGTCAACCACAATGTCTACATCTAGACATTGTGCTTCACATTGTGAAGAAAAACTTACCAAAATGATGTAAGATCCTTCAAATAAGGAGAGAGATATTTTATTTACTGTTTTTTGATTGGCTATCTCCAATGCCACGTATGCACCGTTGACGTATTAGTATCGGAGATGCTCTTAACAAGGAAGAAAACCTCTACACTTTGACTGTATGATCCATCAGGATCCAAAAGAATTTTCCTAACAAGGAGCTGTCAACAGTACAACTGAAATGAGGACTTAATTATATTGAAGGGCAGACAAAATAATAATGCACATAAAAGTAAGAAAATAACAATGCCAGGTAGTTTCACAATGTCCATCCTTTAATAAAATCAAGAGCATCCAATAGTAAGATTTCAGTTTGTCCATTTTCTTTCTGTGAACTAATCATGTTAGCACTTTTCTGTAGCATCCTAATTTAAACAAATATTCACTTTTCTCAAATCTAATTTTAATTAAATTCACATGGTTGTTATCCAAAATCTTCGTTCTGTTGTTTCCCAGAAATATAATAAGCTGAAATTAAAACATATCACTCAAAATATGCTTATGATTTTTCTAGTAAAAAAGCTTTAATACAAAGAAACAAGCTACAGGCCAAACAAACCCAAAACATAAGCTACGGAATACCAACAAATGTTTTCAACCAAACTTATATTCCAGGAAGGAAGAACTTACAGTGTTAGTTTGTTGTTGTTAACATTAAGAATGGTTTCAGCTAAATCGATACCAAGGAGCACTTCTAAGTAGCCTGCAAGTGAAATAAAACAAAGATGCCCAAATGAATAAAGTTCTAACCAGGCCATAGATTACAGTGCTAAATCCTAGCATGTACCCCTCCCAGCCAGCCATCTTAGAAGACATTGTGAGTTCCTCACCTATGGAGGATAGCATACTACTCAGACAATAACATAATTAGTCAGCAATCTAGAGTATCGTGTTGCTAAACCACATGTGTAACACATTTCCAAATAACATTAAATACTAAATGGAAATAGCTGATTAAAACGAATATGCAGATTAGCAGATACGAGTATCTTTTATCTGGCTGATTGAAAAACTATGAATAGGTTCAATTCAAAAATCCATAACACATCCATCTAAAATATTTTCCCAATCATAAAATAAAAATTGAATTTACTCTAGCCTATCCATATAATCACATAATCTTTATTCATATCACACACACAACCAAATCTGAATTCCTATCAATAAAGAGCTTTAAATGAGCAATGAAAACAAAAAGAGAAATCCGAAGTTTAATCATAGATTAATGAAATTGAGAATATAAATTAATATAATTAATTAATTAATAAAACCGTACCTGACCAACATAACCTCATAGCTGAGTGACGAAGATGGCCCATGAGAAGCGGCACCTGGGCTTCTCATTATAATACTACAAAAGGTAACAATCACATATATAGCATAAAATTGAAACCTTCAAGAGTTAAGAAACAACAACTTACTGTCACAAATCTTGTTATACAGAATATCCAGCAGACCGTCTTCTCACAACCTCAAACGCTTGGGTTGGATCATAATTTTGATGAAATAGAAATTGATTTGGAAGTTGGAGGTGTCTGACCAGCCCTCTCCTCCAACCGAACTGGAAAGTGAAGCACCAAAGCCGGACGGGCGACGAGCTGTGGTAGTTCCGGATGAGCGACAGGGGTTCCGGATGAGCAGCGATGTTTCCCGATGAACGGAGTCTGATGTCGATTCCGGGTAAACGGAGACCGTCTGACAGTAGCAAGAGACGATCGGCTGAACTGATGCAGCGATAGGCTCGGGGAGCTTCATCCAATTCCGTGGGGTGGAGGAGGTGAGCTGCAAAGGTGAGATGCTTGAGATTTCTATAGTGAGAATAGCATGGAGAATCGGCGGACGACTGGAACCCTAGCCTTGAATACGTCGAGCAAGAATGAGAGGTGCCAAGTTGGGGAAATTGAAGAGCGGAAAATGAATTGGGAAAGGCGAAGAGGCTTTACTTCTAGCGGGAGAGAAGCAGACGGAGTTTGCAACGTTGGCTTTACATTTAACGGAATAGGACGAAGATAACTCCCTTCCACGCTTTAGAAGAATAGGAGATATACTTCGGATTTAATTACCCGCTGAATTCCACGCTTTAATTATCGAGTTGTATTTTTCTAATTGCAGGTGAAATTCGATGAGCTCCTGTCAAAAGGCTGCAATTTGATCGGTAAAGGCTGAGTACTTCTCTTCATGTGTCGGACAATTTCTTTCTTGCATTGACTTTCCTGTAAAAATAATATAAAATCGTTAAAATATAATGAAATATTTATAAAATAAAAATTAAAAAAATTAAAAAATTGAAAAAAATAAAAAAACGTAAAAAAACAAAATACACTGCCACCTCTGCCGCCCCCCAACACCGCCAGATCTGATCACCAGAGAAAAAATCCCAACATGCATTAGTAATGCCATATTTATGGCAAATTCAATGAAAATTTTGGCATTATCAACCGTAATAATGCCATTTTCAGAAGAAAAAAAATGACATTTTTTCACCAACCGGAGGTGGTGGTGCTGGGAGGCGGTAGAGGTGGTGGGAAAGACATCCATTTTTTTTTTATTTTTTATTTTTAAAAATCAATTTTTTTGAATTTTTTATTTTATTAATATTTTTTTTTTATGATTATTTTATGAATTAAAACATTTGATAATGAATTAATACCCTTAGGGGTATTTAGGGTAGAAAATCAATACTTAGTCCTATTTGTGAATAATTTAAGGCTTTGGTCCTATTTGTAATTTTTAGGCAAACTTTAGTCCTATTTAGGACAATTACTACTTAGAAATAATAAGGGCCTGTTTACTAACAGAAATATTTTCCAGTTTTCGAGAAAACTGGAAAACTGGAAAACAGAAAACAGGAAACGTGTTTACCAAGGAAATTCCTGGAAAACTGGAGAAAGGAAAAAAGAAAAACGTGTTTACCAAATCGTTTTCCAAAACGGAAAAAATGAAACATGTCTCTCTTTTCCTTAATGATTTGGAGAAGTGACTTTTACTAGTTTTCTAAATTTGGAAAACTCAGATGCTACAGTGCCTTTGCAATGAATTTGCATACTTACACCTAGTGGTGGGTCCGGTCCCGCTCCGATGTCGATTCCATTCGGGTACCTCCATCCTCGTACCTTACCCCTTACCCCTACCCTACCCTACCCTACCCACCCAACCCCCACCCCGCGTACCCATTTTTCCCTATAATGACCTTACCCACCCCCCACCACATGCCCCGACCTCGGCCCCACCCCGATCCACCCTACCCTACTGCCACCCCCCTACCACCTCGACCCCACCTCGATCCACCCTACCCTACCGCCAACCCCTACCACCTCGACCCCACCCCGACCCACCCTACCCTACCCCCACCCCTCGTATATTACCACTTACCCTTACCTTACCCCTTACCACATGCCTCCTACCTCGGCCCCACCCCACTGCCATCCTACCCCCACCCTCGTACTGCCATCCTACTCCCACCCCCACCTTACCCTACCTCGGCCCCACCCGGATCCCGGGCCCACCCTACCGTCATCCTATCCCAACTCCCTACCCTACCCCTACCATACCCAAACCCTACCCATTACCCCCACCCTTACCGCCATCCTACCCCTTCCCTACCCCAGCCCCACCCTGGTCCCGACCCCACCCTACCGCCATCCTATCCCAACTCCCTACCTTACCCCTACCTTACCCCAAACCCCACCCCCCCACCCTTACCGCCATCCTACCCCCCCACCCTACCCCTTCCTTACCCCGGCCCCACCCAGGTCTCGACCCCACCCTACCGCCATCCTATCCCAACCCCTACCCTACCCCTACCTTACCCCAACCCTACCCACTACCCCACCCTTAACCCTAACCACGACCCTAACTCACCCACTACCCCACCCAACCCCCTACCCCTAGACCTTACCACCCCACCCCGACCATACCCCTTACCCCACCCTCACCCATAACTTCCCTACCCGACCCCTACGAGTAGGTATGGGTGGGTATGAAGGGTTGTGGTGGAGTATGAGTAGAGTGTAAGATCGTGGTAAGGGTAGAGGTAGGGGTCAAGGGTGTGGAATTGAAGAACTGTGTGAAAAAATTGATAAACATGTTTTCAAATTTGAAAATGGAAAACTAAAAAATAGAAACAGAAAATTGGAGATAGAAAAACTAAAAAATAAAAACAGAAAATTGGAGAACGAAAAACAGAAGTAGAAAACAGAAAAATATCTCTGTTAGTAAACAGGCCCTAATATTCTGAAGTCAGTTGGTGGCGGTGGCAACCGGCGGCGGTGGAGCTCCAGCGACCGGCTGTAGACGAAGTGGGGCAAAAAAATCTCGACTTTCTTTTGCCCAGCCAGAGCAGCGGCCAAATGATAGTCATGCTTCACTGAGGCCTTATTGTCATTAAATAGACCCCATTATAAAGATTCATGATGCCCTCCCTCTATTCAGTGGCGGGGCCACCTATAGAGTTGTGGTGTCAATTGACACCACTGAAGTTTTTCTTTTTCATATATAGGTATGTGTAATTTTTAAAAAAATTATTGCTGCAAAAAAAAAAAATTATAATTGACACCATTGAAGAAAATAATTTACATATAGATGTATGTAATCTTTCAAAAAAATAAAATTGACACCACCATTTAAAAAATAGAAATTGCTCAATAAAGGATCAAAACATACACAAAGATTAAAAAAAAATAGGACTAAATATGTTTTATTACCCAAATAAGACTCGGTTAGTCCTTTTTATAACTTCATTAAAACTTCTCAAAGCAGGAGTTATTGAGTCATGTTTTGGGAATAAAACATTGGTAGGATTATTTATGAATTTATCCATGTTTTAGTCCTATTTAGAAAATTATTTCAAAAATAGTGGATGTCAATGTATATATTTTAAGAGTTGGAACACTGACTTTAAAAAAACATGCGGAAAAAAAATTGGGCGGCACAAGTGTTACTCCAACAATCAAACTCTAAATCACTGCAAGGAATGGCGGAATCAAAGAAGAACTGATTGTACGATCGAATGGAAGATGCTTTGATGAATGATGTCTTAATTACTTTTATTGAAAAAGATATATTTAAAAAGTTTAACAAACAAAAAATTGCACAAACATTTTCAACATATGAAAACGTGTTATGGGTAGTTGTGATTTAGCACTTTAATTTTATAAATGACAATATCTGCTATTTTGCTTTATAGAGGTACGAGGAATGATTTGGTCACTCTGGACTTAGGGGACCTCTATCCGGCCAAGCCCGTATGAGGGATCTCCGAATCGAGTTTTTTGATAAATTTTGTTAGCATGTTTTTCATGAATTGTAAGAACATATTCACAAAAATTCATATACTACTTCGATAAGGAAAACAGTTAAATAAATTATTGAAATGTGGTGCCTTATATATATATATATATATATATATATATATATATATATATATATATATATGTATGTATGTATGTATGTATGTATATATATGTGTGTGTGTACACACACACACACACATAAAGCACCATATTTTTTGAAACATTATTTGACTGACTTGTCGATTTTTTGTTATATAGTTTTGTGGGAATGTTCTACACTTCATGAAGAACATGCTTTAAAACTTGGATAAAAAATTCGACACGGAAGGCACTCAAACGGACTTGGCCTGACGAAAAATCCTGTTAGTCCAGACTGATCGACCAGATCATTTCTATAGCTTTATATATCTACACATTTTTATATAATACTTCCTCCGTCCCTTAATTATAACTTTTGCCAACTTTCCTTTTTTGGTTGTCCCAAAAACTTTGTCACTTTCCCTTTAATCAATCAATTTGTGGCTCCTATTATTTCTCTCTCCTCTGCACAAATTTCTACCACACGATTTTTACTTTATTATTCTACGTGCCGGTCAGACATTACAATCCTTTAAGGAAAGGAGGGAGTATTACTTTGCTCAATTGACACCACTGACATTAATTCCTGACTCCGCCATTGGAAACTTATTATCTTTCTTCTTCACACTGCCCTGTGAGGATCTCAAACCTGGGCCCGTAACATACTCTCTTTCTCATCTGTGACTTCAGTTAGACTTAAGGAGGGTTACACCCGATTTGGCCAAATCCTACTATTATTACTTTAAAGACAGTAGAAGACATAAATTAGGAAACACCTTTATCTTGTTTTGGTGAAAATTTATATGGGATCTGCTTTCCTTGAGTCAACTTAAAATAACTATAACATTGAAATAAAAGTGAAACATTACTGATTCTTGGTTAAGGGTTGTTTCCAAATCATGTATGGAAGTGTCAGCGTTGTTTATATTATTAATGAACATAGTCATAAACTAATCTACTTACTGAACTTTATATTTTATTAATGTCTCATATAATAATAGACCTTAGACTTATTAAAATATTATGATTATAAAAATGTGTAGTACCGGAGTATTCATCAATTAACTCACATACTTAATAAGCTACTAATCTTATTATTCAATGACACATTAATATTTAAGAGTACTTAAATACTACAGAAGAGTTCATAACTTTATTAAATGAAGACAAAAACATTCGAGCCTTAATCCCAAAAAATCTTGGGTCGGCTAACATGAATTGATACATGATATAGTGCCAACAAAGAAAGATACGAAAGATAAATATCCAAGCACAAATCATACAGAAGAGAGATTGTTCCTGGTCACATGTTTCCGGATGACCCATGATGAAAATTGCTTCGAAAATTGCACGGACTGACTGCTACTTCATAACATAGAAGTGCAGACGGACGGACTGCTGCTTCATAATGTATCTTTGGTTGTATTGAAAATGATGGAAATATTTGTAAGTGTTGTGAAATGAAGAAGATGAAGAACAGATTTAAGAGATAGATTTATTGATAATAAACTCTAAATAACTTCTTCTTAATCTCTGAAACTTCTGAATTCTCTAAATTGCTTGAATTAATTTACAGGACCTCATCAAGCCACTATTTATACTGGTTGAGCTTGATGATGA